TGTGTGTGTGTGTGTGTGTGTGTGTGTGTGTGTGTGTGCGTGTGCGTGTGTGTGTGTGTGTGTGTGTGTGTGTGTGTTTCAGGTGTGATTGCATACCTCTTCTTCATGAGGAGGATCCCTGTTATCCAGGACGAAGTGCCCAATCTCAACTACTACTGGGTCCCCCTGCTGGTCAGAGTCTCTCTCACACACACACGCGCGCACACACACGCACACACACACATTGTGCATACATGGACATGTATGATGTCTTTTGGCATTATTGTTAAAAAAACGTGTAATTCTCGAAGCACCTCAAAGGGTGAAATGCACCTCTAACTTTGCTGCAAGCAAATACCATCTTGGTGCTCCTTTTTTAAAATTCGCTCCTTTTTTTTAAATTCACACAAATTTAAATGATGTAATTGGGTGAAAATATCATCAGTGCAATATCTTTAGTAAGTGGGAATTTGAGACGGGGCAGATAGTGGTTGCAAATTATGCGCAAGTCATGGTGCTATCAGCGGTTGCTAACCATTTTTTATGAACTCACCCCTGATTTGGGGACAACTTATTAGCTGCAACTTGTGTCAGGGAGACACCCTAAATCTGAACAGTAATCAACAGGATAATAAATGATACCAACAAGCAATGAAAATACAAAGAATTCATATATAAAAAATATACAGTGGATTGTTAAGACAGTCCGTTTTTTACGTCATTCCTTCGTCTGTAATCAAATCTGCTGTAGTTGTCCAACACGTGTCTCTCTCGTCAGACGGTGGTGGTCGGTGCCTACCTGATCGCTCACGGCTTCTTCAGCGTCTATGCCATGTGTGTTGACACGCTCTTCCTCTGCTTCTGTAAGTAAACACGGCCATTACTGTGTTCAGGACTGGTGCTTTGTAAGACATCATAAAATAGCCCAGGTCAAGTGTACAAACCATGGACGAACCCTGTGTCTGAGTTCTGGTCTTAAATTCTAGAAAATAATTCTAATTGCCACACTGTGTAGTGTGAATTCTGTGGTCACATGATGTTCATCTCCTCTGCATGTGTCTATTTAACAACACTAATGTCTCTCTTTCTTTTTGTCTTTACTTCCCATCCACACATCTCCATTTGACCTTTGGCTTCAAACTTGAACTCCATCCTGGATTTGCTCGCCCTGCGTCATACCCATCCCTCCACACGTTCATCATAATCCATCTACCCATCATCCATCCATCCATACCTACTTTTTCTCCCACGCTTCCATTTGATCTGTCCCTCCATTTAATCGATCCAACCAGGTGATGACTTGGAGAGACATGATGGTAGTTCAGAGAAACCTTTCCTCATGTCCCCAGAGCTGCACAGAATTCTGGGAAAATCCAGTCAGTCGCGTTGATATCCGATCCTCCTACCCACTGTGTCAGCAGCCAGTCTGGTCGGTCTTCATCCAACAGTCCTGCACAGACGTCACCTGGCCCATGTCTCTCCACAATAGAAATTAGAGACTACAGAAGGACAACGGGTCTGATCCTCTGTGGAGACCCTGTATACTACGTTCACTACCAATAAACCTGTGTTGACAGACAGGAGGGCAACTCCTCCTGAAATCTAAATGTGAACAATGTATTAAACCAATACTTCAATCAGAAAGGAAGACTTTTTAAAACACACCGAAGTCGGAACCAGATGAAGGTTAAATGAGGCTCTGCTGGATCCAGGGGGTTCTGCTGGACCGTTTCCCTCTGCAGCGGATCCCTGCTGCACCAATGCACTGACTTACTGCCTGTGTTTTTAACGCTGGGCCATTCTTGGTCTCATGTAATATTTAAACCCTCAAACAAGTAAGTGAGAAGAATGCCGTTTTGTATGAAGATTCAGGAGTGAATTCACGAAAGGATTGTTCTGCGAATAAGACGTAAAGAAACTGTGTAGTTCTCAAAGCACCTCTAACTGTGCTGCCAAGCAATAGTGTGTCAGTGCTCCTTTTTTAATTTATTCAGACATTAGATTTTTATTTAATAGGGATAATGTAATTTAACATAGTTTCAATACAAAGCATGACACTGTGTGTGCTACAGAGAGTTTAACCCTATTTCCTTTACAAACTATTGTCCCTAGTTGGGTTTTCACGTTCAAATGTAATTACAATATATATTCACACTATTGGAGCAAAATTTGGCCCTTTTTATGCAAATGAGCTTCAGTGCAAAAACAGTCCAATTCACAAAGATCAGCACTGATAGACACACACAGTTACAGTGAAATTATTTGCGTCTTTAGGAAGTTTGTGATAATAGAAGCACATTTATTTGTGGGATGCAGTGACAGTTGTATCATGAAAAATTAATGAATAAAGCGAAAGACACATTTATAGTTTCTCCTGCGCTGGGATTGCCGCAAATGTTTAATAAACTCAAACAATGTACTCTTAAAAGAAGAGATAAGTAAGTAATCTGTTTTCCTCGTTAATGGTGTATTATTTCACCAACCAGCATATGTGTGAGAGGCGTATACAGGCACAATGGAAAGAAAAAAGTGAAATGAGCCCATGTCCGACCCGAGCCCGGCTCAGTCGTCTGGTGTGGCGTGGCCTGGACTGTAGGTTCACCTCAGACCAAAACACAGTACAGTGCAGCTGGAGCTTCAGCCAGCCATACTGAAGACCTCAATACACACACAGTCACAAACTGTCACTGTAACATTCCTCACTTGTATGACAATAGTATTTAATATTGAATCAGTATACTGTATAACAACATCTCTCTGAAAACCAAGAGTCAAACCCACGAGGTCTTTAGGATTTGGTCAAATTCTGGATTAGTGCTTCCTTTTCAGTCCAGTCTTGATATGTCTTTTTTATGATGTAACAGAGGAAGTTCTGCAAACATTTTATTTTTATTTAAAAGGGACCATCATAGCTTTAAGCTAATTTGCATCTGTAGTCCCATGGCAGGTCAAAACAAGGAAAGCACCATAGCAAACAGTACAAGGTAAAGACATGATACAAAGATATACAAAACACACAAATGTGTGTTTGTCAGGTAAAAGCAAGTCATAAAGACCATCAGACTCGAGGTCAGTGACTACTAAAGATATGGATTTACACAGAGACAACAGGTCTGTTGTATTATGAGGAAAACACTGTTCACAATGAGTTCAAAATGTTAAACCACGGTCTCAAGCAATGTACACTCCCTGTTCATTTTTATAAGATGGATTAATTTTTGTATTTGCAATGTGTTTGTTTTTATTTGTAATTTCGGACAGAATGCAAATATTATTGATTTACAATACAAACAACTTTGGACCCAGCACTGAACCTTGTGGAGCCCCGTGTGTGAAGTCATTTATCATTGTTTATTTGCACATACTGAGCTTTTCACTGCATATCTTTTACTAATGTCGCAGTACAAGTTTCAGTTTGTTTCCTCAGGATTACAATGTACCACAGAGAAGAGCATAGTGCTGGAAAAGATATGATCGATGTATGATTTAAAAGCGGAGGAGTAACCTTTAATTCTAGTATATCAGAGTTGAAACTCTTCAAAGGATCACACAGGTTCAGATCATTTACGAATTAGTACAATCAGATATCAGACATCTACCTTGTTTATCATGTGGTTTATCATGCAGATCTGTGAATCAGGATCATCACCCTTTGGGTTTTCTAAAGATACTCAATGTTTTTAAGGGGACAGAAAAGAGAATCGGTGCGTAACCCATCATAACAAACTAGAATACCAGCAATAGCTACAGGACAGCAACAAAGCCCTTCAAGTAGAAACGATACCTTTCATTAGTTCAAGTTAAGCGTTCACATCGTCTGGTAAGTCACTGACGAGCCCGCTAGGTTAGCAGATCTTTGACAAACGCTTGAAGGGTCAGCGAACATGTGGGTTTCCCCTCGTGATACCACCTTCATTTAGCAGTTTAGATGAATCAACCTTCAGGGCTTGTTCATCTTCATCAAAGAGCTTCCTCTTCTTGTTGGGTTCTGTGGACAGGTCTTCTAACCTACCTGCATGACTCGGATCTTGTCTTGATTATCATGATTTGCAGAGCTGAGGATTGCAGTGCACCCGGCGGCCTTTGAGACCTTTGAGATAATCAGTGGAGCAGGGAAGGTCTCCGGACCCAGGATGTCAAGTAGTCACTTTTCCAGCAAAGCAACTGAATTGCCCTTTGGGATTCAAGAGTCACAAGCGTCAATTCCAGTTGTCCAGCTCATTTGTTTTGGATGGGAGTTCAGACACCTGTTTCTACACCCTTTATTATCGTTTTATCGTCCTCTATGTCATCATCTGATTTTCTGCCTGCCCCAGTCTCTCTTTGATATCCAATTTGACCCCATTAATTGGAGTCAGAACTATTTGGAGCTAAAGTTGTCCTTCAGGGCTGCGATTGCCTCTCCCTGCTGTTGCCTAAGTTTGTGCTTCATAGCATATTCTCCTGTTTACTGTTGGTCAGCCCCGTCCTGAGCAGTTTGAGACCATTGAGACGACATATCACTCATACTTATTTAATGTAGGAATTCAATCGTTTTTAACACAGGAGAATTGTTCAATTTAGCAATTGTTCAACTGGCTGAGAGATTTTGCAGCTGCTAGTTACATCCCTCCTTCCCCTACTCTGGTGTGCTTTAATCACCTCATGCGCTCCAGTATACCGAACACTGTGTTCGTTCTTTTTTTTTTTTTAAATCTTCCTCCTCTGTCTATCTCTTCCAAACACTTATCCACACTCAGGAAATGACAATTCACAACAAAGTCTGACATTAATCTGAGTAATAAACTACACCTGTGTGGGGCAGATTAAGCATGAGGGACAATATGTCCTCCTGAGACCTGATCACTGAACCAGACAGATTTACACAGCTCATGCTCAGCGATCATTACGATGTGTGCAAATTCTGTTTTATCTCAGTTGATGTGGACATGGTGCAATTGTTCTGTGTTGGTATGAAGGGTATACAAAACATATTTAAACTAATTTGCTTCTTCGAAGGTTCTCTTTACGGTATTCAGAGAATTAATATAGAATTAAACAACTATTATCTATGTGAACATATAGAGAGTAATGCCTCTCCCTCAGAATCACAGATTCTCTGTGCTAGGTTTACACAGCCAGGCCGGCCGCGTGTGCTTTTAGTGCATGTTAGTGCATGTGATCGTGCCCCAGGTAAACACTGTCAGCACTGTTAGCGTTGCTTGAACAGTTAGCGCAGTTATCACCGTTAGCTGCTTGACACCGGCTCAGCTATCGCCATTGAGAGCTGTGTGGAGGCAAGAGATATTCTCTCATTTCTTTAGGAATATGCCCCATGTACACATAATATCTTAAGTAATACTACAAGTATTGAAACTCGTTTTTGACACAGGGGCCCTCTACAAAACACAACCTCCAGATCAGGTACAAACGCAGAAGATACCCAAGGCCCTTATTACTATTTCAGGTTTTTTTGTGAAATGAAATGAACACAAAAAAATATGACACACTAACAACCCTGTGTCTTCAGCGCTTCTGAGGATTTCGGGCACCGGGGCAGTTGCCCGGTTCATAATCCAGCCTCAGTACAGAGAGACTCCACGGGGATGCCGACAGCCTTAGTTTGGCTCGGTGCTGCTGCCGGGCGAGGCTGCAGGACAGAGCTGGGTGGAGTACTTCAGAGGGACGTCCAGACCCACCACAGGACCCACAACACTGAGCCACGACAGCACGTAGTTCACCGGTCTGCAAAGACACACAGAGACAGATATCTGATAAACACTTTATGAGGTGAGGAACCCTCTGCAACCGGTTTCTTTCCTACCTGTGTTGGTCCTGAGCCTGCAGCACGGGCCTCATGAACTCCTCTGTCCTGCAGGGGTGGAGCATGAAGAAGGGCTGACCCAGCAGAGGATGCTCCTGACACACAGGCACAGAGCGGAGAGGTCAGTGGAGCTCTGAGGAGGGGGGGGGGGGGGGGATTGAAACAGCTGACGGCTGCGTGCGTCCTGGTTTTACCTGCAGAGTGATGGTATTCAGAGGGCTGCTCTGAAGCCGAAGCCTGAAGCTGGGATGGACGGAGCTCCACACCTCCTCCAACGACAGGCTCCTCCCCTCTGACGTGGTGACACGTGAGGAAGAAGACAAAGCACAGATATCACTAAGGGCATACACAGAAAATACTGTACACAACGTGTTTTACAGCAGAAACTGATGGGAACGTTTGTCTGATGTATGGGTCTAATCAGTGGCGGGCTGTGCATTTTATACCTGGTCCTACTGTGCTGTCCTTGTTTCTAGGGGTGTAATACTACACGTATTCGTATTAAACCGTTCGGTACGAGGCTTACGAACCGAACAATACGTTTGAATAATACCAGTGCATTTGGAAAATGCAGAAGCTTAAATTGTGGAAAATGTAATGTTTTCGGTGGACTACGCTCACGTAACAGACAACGGACTGTGACCTCTGAACTCGGAACAAAAAAAAGCCAAACAAAAGACAGCTGAGGCCACGCACTTCTGAGAGGCTACGCTAAACTAGCTTAACAAACAATAACTCTACTCATGACGGTATACTTCGTAATTAACGGATAATGCATATAGTCCAACTCTATATAATTAACACGACAACAACAAACTCACAAGAACCAGTCACATATGAAGACAACAAAGCATGACAAAACCGATTCTCCTCCTCCTTCAGCCATTGAGTGTTAAAAAAACAAAGCTAGATAAAAAAAAAAAATCTACACCAAGCAAAATGCAAAAAATGTCCTAATTTCTTCCATATCTTTCAATTTGAACTCTTACTACTCCAACAAAGCTCTGATGGCTACTTTAAGTTTCGTTTCACGATAGTCACGTGCTCGCCCACTGGCCAATCACAGCACACGCTGCACCTCACTGCAGCGCTGCACATGAAAACTGAGCTGCACGTAATGCTGACGTATTTGTAGGCCAGCTAGCAGGCTCTGACACGTCAAAGAATACGCCCAACATGTCAAACTAAAGATCTGATTGGTTGAACACTATGACAATCAACAATATCATCCCCATTCACTTAAACTGCACATGGATTCACTTGTGAGTCTGCAGGCCTCGGGTCTCTGTTCTTACCTAGAGACACAGAGGTGAGATCTGATTGGATAAAAGCTCTACTTAAAACAAGCTGCACTGGAAGCAGAGCAACTGAGGAACACAGTAGCTGTGCAATGAGAACATAAGATAATGGGAAAAATATTAGAATACATGTAGTGTGTTTATGAAAAAATATTAAATGATAAAATAGCTATAACTTTGTGATTCTGTTTAGGCCAGCAGAGAAGGCTTAGCTGGCCCTGACGGCCCACCACTGGGTCTAATAAAAAGAAACGCAGCGTTGTGTGTTTATGTGTGTGTGTGTGCAAGAACTGTGCAGTTCTTTGTTTTGCTTTGTGGTTGTAGCCGCTGTGGAGATTTTGTATATTAATCATTTATAATCAGTTGTATGCACATGCTGAAAAGTGTCGTCTGTAAAAAATGAATATATCGTTGGTTTGGACATTACATGGAATCAGTAATCTCTTTTAAATCGCTTCTTAAAGGGACAGTGTGGAGTACTGAGGCTGCAGATTGCAACCGACTGAATACCCCTCCGCTCACTCCTCCCTTTCCAAGAGTTAATGTGAGCCAACCGTGGCAACGCCGTTTGCCTCACTTAAGAGGCCGTCCATACCGTAGTAACACTACTATAGGAGCAACAGAAGTCAGACGGCTGTCGGTACCACGGTTTTACACTCTTACCGCAGTTTAACGAGCGTGTAGAGAACAACATAAAACTTAGAAATCCGTAAGGCTCTCTCTAGAGTCAGTGTTTCGTTAGTCCCTTCTGGGCTACGGTAGAAACATGGTGGTGCAACATGGCGGACTCCATTAAGAAAACCAGCTCTACAGGTGAAGGGCTCCTTCTCAGTAAACAAAAACAACAAGACAATGATTCTTATTTTCAGGTGATTATAGACGAGTGAAAAGATAGTTATGAATATTAAATTCCAGTTCTGCTAATAGATCCCCCGAAAATGTACACACTGGCCCTTTAAAACCCTTTTTATAGACTTGCTTTTATGTGACATCACTGTCTTTGTGTTTTTTGTCTTTGTGTCTAAATTTGACTTTAGTCGTGTCCTGCTTTTGCTTTTCTTTGTCTGTCACTTTGTAAACTGTTTTTAAAGGTGCTATATGAATAAAGTTGTTATTAGAGCTCTGTGGTGTGATTGTAATGCGTTGATATCATATAACATCATCATATACTGTACATTATGCATTCACATTCAATACACCATAAACTTCATGTCACACAGTCAGAGTAGCAGTGTGTGTGTGTGTGTGTGCAGTGACCGTCTCACCCTGAGTGAAGGCTCTGAAGTAGAGCACAGGAGCAGCATAGCTGCAGGAGTGCAGGATGTGATACTCGTACTGAAGCACCTGGCTGCTGCCTCCAGACACTGTACAGACCCCGTCATCTTCATCATCATCTATGGCACCGCTAACGCGGTCAGTATCTACTGAGGCAACAAGAGTAGACTGGAGGAGGTGGTGAATGGAATAAAGTTAATGATTGTGCATGTTATTCGTTTAACATTTTAGTTAAAGGTTAATTTTAACACCACTGAAGGATATAATTCTGTCATATTTAGTCAAGGCAAAGATAAATGTTGGCATGTTTCACCTCTTCCTTCTCCCGTCCCTGCTGATCGGGACAGGACTGACAGGAAGTACGTGGCTCCGAGTCCGAACCAGATCCTTCCTGGTCACGAGCCGGGCTTGGGTCGATGACGACCGACCTGAGAGCGGTCTTCCTCAGGTAGCCCTCCTCCGAACCCTGCAGCCCCGGATCAGAAAGCACCGTTAACCACGTTCACGGACTTGACATGTGACAAGTCCGTTAACCACGTTCACGGACTTGACATGTGACAAGTCCAGACTTCCTCACCTGGACGGCCTTCCAGCTCCAGCCGTCTCTCAGCTGCTCCGACCGCTGCAGGAGCAGCCTGCAGCAGAGACGGAAGCTCTCCTCATCCAGCACACAGCGGCTCATCTCTGCAAGGGGACACGGTGGAGGGGGGGAGGTACATGAGTGGTATGACTAGTAATACATTACCGTTGTTATATGATATACATACAGTTTTACAGTTACATTTCAACAAACGCTTGTATGTGTCTGTCTTTGTGTGTGAGTGTCTGTAACATGTTGATAACTATTGCTCAGCAAGATATACCTTCTCTTCCTAATAGGAGTATATTACATCTGGAGATATCTCTGAAAATCTGGTATTACAGAGTTGAATTTGTCCAAATAGGTGTTCCCTACTTCAGTGAACATTTGACATTTCAGGAGGAAGTGCGTCACTGAGCCTGTACTCGGTGAGGATCTGTCCCTGCATTCTATCTCTAACAGCAAAGAGACATTCTGATGATTCATCATCTTTTTTGTAGGCCCATACAGTATATAAACCTTCTTCTACTGCGTTTGACAGTAGAAGAAGGTTTTACTTGTTTTGCTCCAGTAAAAGTAGTCATTGTGCAGAATGGCCTCTTTCATAGATATTATATTAACATTGAAGTACAGGCAGCACTTTAGTATTGTTGCTGGCGGAAGTGTAGCTTCTTTTAAATACTTTAAACACTGTTGCGTATTTATAAAATATATATATTTTATAAACTGTTCATTTTTTTAATGTGCAATCTTAATCTGAATAGTACTGTGCAGTCAGATAACTGTAGTGCAGTATAAAGTACACTATTTCCCTCGGAACTGTGGTGAAGCAGAAGTATAAAGTAGTAAAAATACTTCAGTACAAGTACCTCAGAATGCAGTTCAGTACTTGCGCAATGCACCTTAATCTCTGCTACCGACGGGGGAATGTGTGTGTACCGATGAACCCTTAACGTTACACGAAGTCATCAGCGCATGCGTAGAACGTGACGCGGCGTGACGTCACCGTGTGGCCGACGGGAGGTTCCGACCCAAACGAAGCTCTTCAAACACACAAACACAGAGCAACAGACACCGGACACTTTGTATTCCACTCGTACTGCTGGACGAGTCACACGAAGGAACAGCAGCTGCAGAACCAACGTTTCACTTCCGGGTCGGGAGATCACGTGACTACTACCGTCACCCTTTAAAATGATTATACAGATCTGTCAAATAACAGATTCATAAGGGAAGGATTGTCAAAATTGCCCAAATGTTTAAAAACCTCTTTGTATAATATAGATTTAATTCAATGTATCTTGTGTCATTCGTTGGTCTTCGAACTGTCGTTTGTCTTGTTGCTTGTCGCTAGATGGCAGCAAATAGCGCATTAGAGCTGCGGCTCTACTGTAGAAACATGTCAGCGCCAGAATGTGTCGTCACTTCACAAGATGGATTCACAAACAATAAGGCAATCATTTCAATGATGAAGTTATCTAACTGAGCAGATACCACATTAACACATTCACACACACAATAACACAATTTTAAAAATGATTATATGAGTATAATAAATCCTAAAAATAAAAATAGTTTTCTGGTAATATATAGAACCTTTTGGCATATTTGGATTTCATTCATTTCAAGGACTATATAGAGTTGAGTTTCATAGTAGCACATGCAGAAGGGTGGGGTCTTTAGAAATGTTGCCTTATGAATAAAGAATTCAGCTAAAATTACAAAAACATATATCCTTTGGTCGATTTTTTTTCTTCACATAAAATAATATACACGTAAAATAATGCTACTATGATCAGTATTTCTGTGGATTTGCTAATTAATCATTCCCAGAATTTTTTCCCAGAATAACTGGGTTTTGGAGCATGCAACAAAGAGAAGCTGTTTCAATATCACCTTTACAGAATAAACTCATTACTCTCAAAGCTGAAACCTAAATCTGAAAAATTCACCGGAAGGGTAAAAATCATTGCTTATCTTCTAATGTACTTCTTTTGTTTTGGGTGGAACATGGTGTTTGAAGAACTTTGTTCTCAGTTAAGATACTGTTAGTTGGTCAAAGGGTATAAACTGTTTGTTATTACAGACCCGGTGAATATGTTGGGGAACCTTTTATTTAAAAAAATGAATTCCATATATAAATGTGGGGATATGAGATGCGGACTGAGAGCACACTGATATTTAGGCTGAATAATTGTTCATCTTCAGTGGATTTCAATGCACATCTAATCATGCTGGTAAGGTAACAAAATGTAATTTTGAATATATAATACAAAACACCTGAACTATCCCTTTAATACTCACTACAGCCATCATGTCTCACATTATATTACACATAATACAAAACAAGTCTTATTTAATGTGACGTCACCAAAGAGGTCCTAATTTGATACAAAACCTTTCCATACAGGTTTGTTGAGAAGCACAATGGATTTCTGCTCAAAATCTTCCTGATTATGACCATAAATAGTTTCACTGTAAATTGAGTTACTGGTAAATGGATTGGAACCCATTATCGATTTGCCCATATAAGAAGTTATAATATATATAACTTCTTTATGAGGTTTGCCAGTTTCAGATAGTTTGCCAGCTCAGACATGAGGAAATCAAAATGTGTTACTGTGCCTTTCCCTTCAATTTTCACATTCAATTTGACATGGTCATAGTCAGGGTCATTTTATTTAATGACAGTTCAAATATGACAAAATGATGAACGTGTTCCAATGCATTTTGAGGTGACTTTCCAGTAATGTAGTGAAATGACTTATGGTCATAATCAGTAACATTTTGAGCCAAAATCCACTGCCCTTCTTAGCAAACCAAAGGGTCAGCGGGTTTTTGGTTCAATGCCTGAAATAATCTCTGTGTCCACTATCAAAAAAGTAATGTTAGCAAAATGGATTCTATGTTGGTTGTTACTCTTTTTTGTTGTAATATTTTCTCAGTTAACACAAACTATTTATTGTTTTGTTCTACGATATAAATACCTCAGTAGACACGCCTCTCATTCATTTTGAAGCTTTTAAGTGTCTTAAAAAAAATGAGACTACAAATCCTATAACGTTAGCTTTTTGCTGCTGCCCATTGTATTCAAAAATAAAAGAAGTGGTGGTCATTCGTGAAAATGATCTTGCTGAACTAATGATCAAAAATCAGATGGAAAAATCCAATTGGCTTTTTGTTGTGGGAACTTGGCCTTCATAAAGAAGTCATCCCTGCACCACTGTAATGGGCAGAGGAAGAGCATCAGTGTATGTGTGACTTCAAACATACATTGAAAAAACTCAACAGCAATGTCTCTTTCCAGAACCCATGAGCTGGTTACTGAAGACAAACCCACAGACCTTGTTGTGAGCAGTTTGGTGTAGGAACTTCTTTCTTTCTACCAAACAACCGTATCACTGGGCAGAAGGAAGTGTGCATCTACTCCGCTGGCTAATATCACAGCCCAGCTGAGGATGAGCTTCTCTAGATTGATAAATAACACTACAGGTAAGATGAAAAATATATATTTTTTGATTTTAGGGTGAACCCCTTTTTGTGCTTTGGTAAAGTAAACCTCAGGGGCTCAGTAGAATCCGTCCTGCCTAAAGAATATCTTTGAAAATAAAGATGAATTGAATGTTCCGTTAAATTGTAGTTGCATCTTGCGGTCACAGCGGTGGCTGTCCAGCAAAAGTCACAGTCTCACTTTAGGGGACGGACACAAAAGACCTCAGTGAGAGACATGGCAAAATAAGCCATTTATTGAAATAGTCAAAAGAAACTAAACATGAACACTTTTTTTTTTTTTTTTTCTCAATCAAGCAAAATGTAACAGTTTCCACGTCGAAAAACACGTCAACACTACGTCTCTGAGACACTCCCACCCAGTTTGATCAGGCAGTTCTGTACCGAGGGCAAAGAGCAACACAGCAGTTTTTTAGTTCGGAATCTTTTGTAACACATAAACCATCAGACGGAGAAAACAAAACTGAAATCCAACACGTCTTTTTAAAATCAAATATATACATTTGTTCTCACAGCATTTACACAGAGAAGAAAAAATAAAAACAAAAGCAAGTACCACAGAAGAACTCTATCTGTCAATCCAAAAGTTGTAAAAAAAGTAAACAGGCTCACCATGTAGAAAGAGGAGAAACTGAAGCATGACGAGACTGCCAGAAGAGTTGGACATTGTCTTTGTTAATGCTGACAGTGAGAAGCAGGAGGGTTTCTCTGGGTTCCAGAAGTAGACGCATGGGAAGGACACATCAGGGTTCTGGACAGGAACATGCTAGAACAACCCTGAGCTCAGAGGGGGGACGGGGGACGGGGGACGGGGACGGTAGGTTCACTTAACTTCAGTCTATTTAGCAAGGAAGGGATGCGTCAAAAAGGTGAAACTTCCTACAACTCCCACAATGCCATTTTACCCAATCATGTTGATTCACTCTTATTTGAACTAGTTGGCTTGTTCATGGTAGGTCTGTAACCACCGTGTGAGACACTTTAAGGCTGGTGTGAAGCCACGCTGAGGCTTTTTCACGAGTGTAATTACGTATGACTTTCATGAGGATTTCATACTTGTGCTTATAACGAATTGTTTTAACAAAAAAGGATCATTTTTGGCCATAAAGGGCCAGTGTGTAGCATTTCGGGGGATCTCTTGGCAGAAATGGAATATACAATTCATAACAAATTACTGTATAATCACCTGAAACTAGGAATTGTTTTAATTAGATTAGAATGAGCCCCAGACAAACCAAATACCAGAGAGATCCTTCAGCGTTGGTTTCGTTACCTGAAGAACACCATAGTTCTCCGATATGCTTGTTAACCTGCGATTCTGTGAGCCACAGAGTGTGAAACCGTGGTACCGCCGTCTGACTACCGTTACTCCTAAAGTGGTGTTATTAGAGCCCAGTATCATGTTAGGTTGTGAAATGGTCAGGTAATGCAATCTATTGGTTTCATGTACAGACAAATCATCTTTTTCATGGTGGACACAAATTAAATGCATCCATGTGACTAAGCAACAGTCAGAGCAAGTGAAATAGTTTTTAATATCCAAAAAGACCACTTTTGGTTTGCGGGAAGGGAGCTGGATTGGTCCAACAAACATAGGACTTCCAACAACAAGGCCGCTTTTCAACACTGCTTTGTGGTTTTAGGGTTATGGTTGTGTTGCCTAAACCTAACGTTTGTTGTGTTGCCTAAACCTAACGTTTGTTGTGTTGCCTAAACCTAATGTTTGTTGTGTTGCCTAAACCTAACGTTTGTTGTGTTGCCTAAACCTAACGTTTGTTGTGTTGCCTAAACCTAACGCTTGTTGTGTTGCCTAAACCTAATGTTCGTTTTGTTGACTAAACCTAAATGTACTTAGTTATTTTAAGCCCAACCATGATGTTTTTCGAAAACTTAATTAAGTGATTTTATTGCCTAAAACCTAAACTTTCATTGTTAACATAATGTGGTCCAAAAACAAAGTTCTGAGCGCCACGGAAAATACAGAATATTCGTGTTTCTGTACATAAAACCAATAGATTGTATTTTGTATTCCTATTTCACAAACTTCTGTGAGGCTGTGTTGGTTATTATGGTATAGATGGCCTCTGAGCGAGGCGACCAGCATTACTGCGGTTTTGCACTCGGCGATTCGCATCAACTAGGTCTCAGAAAGGAAGGAGTGAGCGGACGGGTATTCAGTTGTTTGCAACCACACCACTAGATGGTAATCCTACACACTGTCCCTTTAAAGCCTTGAGCTAAGTTTAACTAGATCATAGCGGATAGGTGAATCAGATGTCTTGGGTCTTTCTGAAAAGCTGAAACATGTTACTTTTCTGTCCATATTCTCAGCTAAATAGGTATTTATTATGCATGGAAGTGAAGTAAGCCTAGCAGAGTTGCTGCTGTTGACACACTTGAGGGTGATGGGAAGGGAGGTGGCAGACAGACACACTGACAGTTTGCTAGACGCTGACTGAGCCGCTGCATTCACACCTATATGGCTTCAGGCCTTGAGACATGTCAGCAACGCGCAGACATGTTGACAGACTACGAGGGTGAGGGTAATCCAGCCCCCCCTTCATTACCAGGGAGACACATAGGGTGAAGACACAGGTTTTGGACAGATAGAGAGGCGGATAAAGACGAAGCAGAGCCGAGGGCATCGACAAGAAATCGTACCGTAAACGCAGCACGGAGTGTTCTTTGACGTAATAGACGAGCACTCCCTTCCACCCTCCTATGCCATACAGTGCTGTAAGAGTGAACAGACAGCTTCATTATAGTATTGCTCTCAGGGTAGGTATAGGGCCTGGTGGTCTACATAATCAACACTGTTTTGAAAGGAGAGTTTTGGTGTCCTGCTTGAGGTGTTCATTCCATCGCAGATTGCCATCTCTGTTAAAGGAAACTTCAATGCTCATACAACTCGAGACTTTCTGGTTCTTTGACCTTTAATTCTCCTACAGATGTGCGTGTGAATGTCTGTAAAACATTTCACTGACGGGAGTCATGCGGACTGACTGGTAACTCCTTCATTGGACCATTTTGGTGACTTCATCCCGTATCACCGCGACACGGTGCGACAGAGGAAAATAACCGTGGGATTGGAATCAGGTCCTGCTGCACTTTACCGAACCAGGTTGGTGTATTCAATTGATATGTTTCTATTTTTTGCACTGTGGATGTTGATTGTTTAATGTTATGCACCACACATATGTGCAACATACCTTCACAAATAAACGGTTCTGATCTGATAATGAGCATTATTAGCAGAGGCTGATCACTTACACCTCAATCATTTGAAAAGTGCGTTATAAATAAAATGCATTATTATTATTATTTATCCCTTACATCTAAATCATTCATGTAGAAGATGGAGTGTTGTCTTTTTGAAGAGAATAAAGACACTCCATCGATCAAACGTAATGATGAAGAGTAATGCTTCATCATCAAGGAAACCACCCTACATATTTTCTTACATACATAATGCAGACACCAGCATGCAGAGAGCACACTGAGTGTCATATAGTAGTTTGGCAAACTCGCACTTTATAATAATTATTTACTGCTGAATAAACCTGTCAGCATCAGTTGCAGCATCAGTTACATTGGCGATCTAACACGTTCAGTTAAGAATTTTTACAGCTGGTTAAATCATTTATCATTTATCAATTCATCTCTGAAGATTTGATAATTACATTCTTTCAAATCGTAACAGTAAAATATAAATTATATAATTAAATTTGATCATTTGGTAATTTTGGCGGTCGCAGGACTGTAATGAGCTTGTCCAATTTGGGCTGAATGAAATGATTGATTATTTTGGGGGAGGGGCGTCGGAGGGAAGATTTAGCATCTTTTGGAGGTCATGCTGCTAGCTACTTTCATTGGAAAAGAGTTGGCATAACTGGGCTGACTTTTTAGGTTGGATCATTTTAAAATCGAGTGTACTCTTGCTCAGCACCATTAGTAATAACATTTAGTACAATGGACCATTTGACCAAATCTCATCATTTTGATGAAAAAAAATCCCCCAAATGTATGACATCATTGAATTCTAAATGTCAGGGTTGTCGGCAGTGTGGAACGGCCTCTGAATGACCACATCCCATCACAGGACATTAAATATCTTGAGTGAAATAGTTTGTTGGTTAATAAATCATCAGCATAACGATTTGATGATGTTACCTCAATGCTGTACGGATAAGTATGCTTGAGATTATATACCATATTGTGTGTATCTGTCCAAATCATTCAGTGTCCTCTGTTTCCTTCATCACTCAGTCGTCATCACACACTTCAAGGCCTTCATTCAGCAACTACAATACCTAGCTTAACAAGAGCTAAAGCTAGCTTACTACCGTTAGTGTTTCATGACTTTCTCAACATTTGACTCATTAATAACCAATTTGTAACCCATTGAGTTGAATTGATCAAATGTTCCTTTAACAGTCAATATCAACTTCATCACGGTCACACAGTGTACCAGCGTCACTGACTTTCCAATGTGAATTTTGACAGAAAGAGTTCGGTATCTGTTTTGCAAAGATGTCAGGACACTTTTCAAGGTTGGTTTAAATGGAGACATCAACAATGTGACATCAGCCTTTCTCAAAGTGGACATTTGACTTGCAGTAAAAACACAGGTAGAACAGGTAATGTTGATGGTGGCCCTGAACAACCAGTAGCATGTTTCAGTTAACAGCTATGGAGCCAGTTGCTATGAGGAGTTAACGGTTAGGGCTGTCACTTTTTAATTCCAATCGCAGGTAAAATGTTTTGATCCGATCTATTGGATGCATCTCTTAATTGTCACTCTGACCTGTCAGTAAACTAGGCTAATGTTGTTCTCTCTTTGCAAACGCAAAATGCAGGTAACCAGTGAGCTATGGTGACCAGATAATCATAACACCAACTATCTGAGAATTAACGTGAAGAAGAAAAAAGTAAACCGTAAAAAACACTGCAGTGCCAAATCATGTATTATTAGTACTTTTGCTAATGTCAAAGATCTGAGTAACGTTACTTCTTCCACCTCTGCATTAAAAAATGGTGTCTTTTATGGGGCGGAGAAATGGGACAGTGGCATGAAGGGTCGCTGAGCCGCCAGTGTGGGGGGGGGGGGGCTACATAGAAAATAATAGACAACAAATAATTGACAATCGACGTTAGGCGGTCGTGTGTTTTGGCCTTTACAGTAATTACAACAAATCTGAAAACAACTGTTAGCTCGTCACTCAGCGATGCAGTGGAGGCACCGCAAATCAACAGAATCATGTCAATTCAACAAAGTGACAGCCCTAACATTGGTCAAAGAAACATGCGTTTTTAGAAGTGTTTTTGATGTCCGCCACTCGCCTGACTCATGAAACATTCTATCAATCCACACTGACTCAGAGACAGATCAGTACATTCATACTGTGTGTCTGCATGGTGAAGACAGTTGGCCTAGCTAGTGTACTCTCAGCTCCCCAGGAGCTACTGAGAGGACAAAGATGGCAGAACCAAGGTTGGAGTTATTGTCGACTGAACAGATAGAAAGCTAGGTAGCTAGCAAGCTATGTAGCAAGATAATCCCACTTACAATGCTCTGATTAGTCAAGCCAAAATGTTCTCTGTGAGAAAGGCCTTTAACCCTTCGATGTGAGGCAGTCATTTGATGAGTCATTGGTAAATCGCAGTGCATTTCGCTCCTCTTGTTACTTCAGCAAATTGACAGACTGTCTGTAGGATTATCCATAGAGAAACAATTAATTAACTAGTTGTTCTCAGACATGTCCCATGGTTGTTTGTCTCTTCAGACTGAGACAGTTTGATCATATAACTGTCCAAGTTTCATTCCTTTCTGGTTATAGTGTTCATGATGTTCTAAACATAAGTGGACTGGAGTCCTTTTCCTCATCCCTTCATTCATTTCCTCACCAGGTTTGTTAGACACGTCAGGCTTTCTCTTGCATCCATTCATTCATCCATCTCTGCATTTTGACAAATTTTCTGTTCAGCGACAAGATCACAGTCTGTAAACCTGTGAGAGATTCTGGTCCATCTATCCCTTCTGAAACATGGGGCAGTTCACCTGTAGTTTAAAGTACATCCATTCCACTGTAGTGCTTGCCCTAAACATGTGAGACTTTTTGCGTCTCTCTTGCCTGTTTGATGCTGTACAGCCACTTAATGACTCTTGCATTTCGCTCCACAGCCGAGATGCCATATGGAACACGCTCCCCAGCCTCCTCCTCCTCGTCCTCGTCCCCGTCTGACAGCCCATCGTTAGAAGATCGGCGCGACCGGTCACAGTCTGAGGAGATCATAGAAGCTGATCGGAAGTTCAGGCTGACGATGTCTGAGTTGGCCCGCGCAAAGTTCTCTGGACCAACTGCCTCAAGCTCCTCTGGGTCGAGGCCGCAGTAGTTAAAAAAGCGTTCCACGTCAGCTCCCGCCCGGGCATACCGGTCTGACAGGTCTGATTTAGATCTGTGTAGCGAGGAGCGACGAGCCACGGATAAACCAAGCTCAAGCTCCGGGTTGGCATCGGTTGAAGTATTGGAAGGATCTCCGAAATCGCAAGGTAGCAACTGGGGGGCGGTGTTGTCGCAGAGCAAGGGGGATGGAGTTGGACGAGGGGGCGGCAGCGACAAAGACAGAGCCGGGGGAGGTAGGGTGACGGGGTTGGGTTTTGGAGGGAGGGGCGGAGCTGAGGAGGTGCTGGATCGCGCCATGCGAAGTGGCTTGCCATTGCACAGTCGCAGGAGGTCGGAGGAGGAGTGGGAGGTGAGAAGAGGTGGTAATGGGGAGCGAGAGCGATCTATAATGCCTTCACCTCGTCTGCTAAGGTTGAGGTTTCCTCCCTGTAGTGGACTGCGACGTCCCCCACTGTTGATCGGAGGGACCTTCAGGGAATGGGAGAAGGATCGGAGGGAGTGTGAGGTGCTTGGACTGGGAGCTGAGTCTGGTGGTTGCTCATTAAGTGTCATTGTAGATCGGTAGGTTAACGGCACCCTAGGAACAGAAAACAAGAAGATAATTACAATGCAGGAGCATTTGGTAGGAAGACAAAATCAAGTATGTGGAGTTACTTACTTGTGGACATAAAGAGTAATTTAACAACCTTGGATATGGCCCCTTCCCAAATTCAAAAAATGCAATCAAAGCCAGATACCTAATCCCATGGTACCCCCTTCACCAATCATTCTGCCACTGCCCCCACAGCTCTGTTAGATCGTTGTTCCAGCTCCAGGAGACTCGCACTACTCCGCCCCTGATTGGTTTACCCTGATTTTCCTACCCTAACCCTTACCAATCTGACTCCTCATGCCTAAACCTAACCAATCCAAACAATGAAGGCACCGACTACTAGCCAATCAGAGGCCGAGTAATCATTATTGCTTAGATAAACATCCAGGGTTATCCAAATTCCATAAAACCAAGTCACATGCGGCTTACGGTTTCACTAGCTTAACATGAAGCACCTTTTTTACTTGCAGACTGAAAGCAGTGACAGTGTCCCAACCTTCGATTCTCCACCATCACGGACCGTCCAGATACTTGTATGAACTGCTAGCTTAGCTTAGCAATGTTTTAGCAGAGGCAGTGGAGAGTTACAGAACAAGGGATGTGAATGAGTGGTAAGAACGGTGTAAATTTGCTACTAAAACTGTAACATTGATCGACACCGTAGTAGTAGTAGTAGGATGTGGGGTGAATGTGACTTGTAATTTGGAGGTATAAAGTACAAGGCAAATCAGGACATTTTTCACAGATATTTCTTTCTGGAGTTTGGTACAGAACATATAAATAGATTAGGCGTAGAACGGACATGGAACTATTTATTGTTGTAAATTGTTAAGGTGACAACACACGTCAGTGGGTCCTTAAAGTGTTATCATAGGTCAACAGGAAGAGAGCAGATGCAGCTCTGGAGAGTGATAGCTAGCTAGTTAGCTAAATAGCTTGTCGTGGTTATAATGACGCTAGTGAGGTGGAGGGACTGTTACACCCAGTGCTGCCACTGGCTGTTTGGCTTATTTGCTGTAACTAGTGCAGCATTAAAGCATAGTGAAATTAGAAAGCTAGCTAACTTTCCAACTGTCTGCTAGCTAGCTTGCTAATTCCACCATGCTTTAATGCTAAACTGGTTACAGAAAATAAGCAGAACAAAGTCACTCATCTGGCTAAAAACGATTTATTACTATGGAGCTTTTACATCAAACAAACTGATATTTCCAAGAAAAGGCAATGGATACACAGAGCCAATAGCTTCATTAATGCAGTTTTGTTCAAACTATGGTGACTCCCCACAAGCCTGTTCAGGATAATTTAGGAAATATCAGTCAAGGTGACCTACTTGCAGTAGACGTGTACACAAAAACGACTCATAACCATTTCTAAATATTAAATTAGTAAATTACCCCGATGGCGTCCAACTCCTGGCCATTCCCCCTGATGACCTCATCAACACAGCACTTTTAGCTCCACCCCCTAGTCCTTCAGATCCTGCTCCTGAAGAGGATGAGTTAAGCAGATTTTTAAGGATCTCAAGGTTTAAATTCCCCCGTTTGCTGCTGCCGCTGCTTGTTGGACACATATCTGCCTTGGCGTTATTATTGGATGCTTTGAAAGGTATCCCGCCTCCATTTCCTCCTCCACCAATCCCAGGGCCTCTCTTGGACAGGAGGGTGTGACCAGCGGGAGGCTTAGCCATCACGGGTGGTTTGATTGGCTCCTGCTTGGCGTTAATAACTTCCTGGCTCTTGACATACTTGGCCTTGTCAGCTTCTAGTCTCTCAACAGCACTGAGGCGCTTTGGGTTCGGTTCCACCTGAGACACAGATTCAAAATTAAATGTTAATGAACACAACACTCATTAGCCATTTTCTGTACATGTTTACCCTACATGCTCCTCCCTGCTTACCCAGGGTTGTAGCAAACCCAACTTCAAGAGAGAGCCGGGGACCACCCAGAACAGCTTGCAAACTTTTCAGGGCAACAACTTCTAGACAGACCAACTATTGAAACTAACATTAAAACCTTCCTTAGAGGCTCACCTAAACATGCAAGTCTTTGGACAGTGGACACGAGTGCACCACAGAGACATGAAGAGACAATGCAAGGACAGATGGTCAGATAGGGCGCAAACCCGAGGACCTACCCGCTGATTTGACCATTTTTCCTTGATATTTGTGCTTCTACCATACAGTACGTAGGCTAAGTAAGTTACCAATGTAGTTAAATGGTTTCCTTTTTGTCTGTTTTAACTGTGTTTATTGTTTCCTACTTTGTTTTACTGTAGCAGACAAAGTTAATACTGTTAAAAATCCAGTTATGAACAACATGGATCAAAGATTTGTGGTTGCGTTTTAGTTGGGTGGAATCACTAAAAAACGTATTGACATGAAACAGGCAGAGGAGAAGACGGCCAAATCAGCTGGTGTAGTGTGGGCGGGGCATCAAGGCCACTATGGCTGTAGGACATATCATTTTTTGAGGGGCCAAACTGATGGGGCGCAGCAGCCATTGCCATAATGGCCTTCGTGAAATTTCTGCTCTGATTGTGTCATACGTACGCAGAGTTCATTTTTTTGTTTGAAATGGACAAGACTCCTAGTTAGCTATTATGCCAATAGACTTTTGCCATATAAGTAATAATATAAGAATTATTACTTATATAATAATACAAGTTTTGTTGGCTACACATTTTCCTGTGATTTTAGATTAATCAGAAGAATAATACATTTTTTTGCATCTAGTGCAGTCAGAGGCATTAATTCAAATCTAGTAACAGATAAGATGTCAGCTTCTATGATAGAACAAAGACTTCAACATGAGGTGTAGGGGTAGCAAATTATCCAGTTTCAAAATCATATCAGAGAAGATATAGGGAGTGTTGTTTTGAAACAGATTTTTTTTAAAGCTGACTTTACAAAATTAAACATCCCTTTTCAGTCCAGCATCTTTCATGACGCTTTAGTTGTGGGCACAGCTTGCACAAGTATAGGCAGCGGGATGTATTTACCTGTCTTAAGGGTGAGAGCTTCTCCCCTCTGGGAGGTGCTATAGAACACTGTCTACAGAAACAAGCAGACACCAGAACAATTTCTTCCCATAGGCAGGCAAAAGGGTTACTTCTCCCTGCTCTCAAGTGTTCCTGATCAATGATCAGTGCGTGGCCCCGCCCCCATATTTAAGGGAGGCTGGAGGAGAAAGATCTATCTTCCAGACAAAGCAGCCATCTATCTATCGTGTAGTTTTCTTTTGCTTCTTGTTTTATATTTGTTCATTTACTTTTTAATAAGGAGGGTAGTTCAGTTTTCAAGGCTTTGTTTGTAGTTTAGTGTATTCACTGTTTTGATAATTTAGGGGGGCTCAGACTTCCCCTTCTTTTTTTTTTTTTTGCCCAGGCCTCCTGTTAGTTTTGTTTAATTCATGGCGTAATCTATAAATTAAACCCAATCGTCTTTTTTAGACTGACTCTTGGTTATGGCTATCTTTGTGTATGTAGCTGGTCACACGGTTGAGCCGAATGTTTTCCTGTTGTGGAAGTGAAATCTTCACCTACGGGCAATTAAGAGTCGCCAACTAACCTCACCTGAACGTCTTTGAACAGTGGGATAATTAGGGTGCTCACACTCCACACTGTCTAGTGTCTTTTAATTGTAGAACTACAGTATCTGTATGGAGACTGGTGATGGGGACCCTGGTATCACTCTGTATTGAAAGAATAGGGGATATTGTCCACCACTTCTCCACAACAAGCACTCTGTTTTGGATATGGTCTTAGTGGTTTCAGTAACAAGGTTACACACACACACACACACACACACACACACACACACACACACACACACACACACACACACACACACACACAGCTGATTCCACAGAGTGATGTAACAGTACCTGTCTCCTGAAGTAGTCGGGGCCCTTGTTGAGGATGCGGAGGGGTACGGTGGAACTGAAGGCTGTTGCGGGGCCAGCGGCCTTGCTATCTGGCAGGGCTGGAGCCAGTGTCTCTGTCGGCATGGCAACGAGGCGACTGGGGTGGCCGGCCGTGGTGGCGTGGTGCGGGGGGGTCGACAGAGGGCGGGGGCACCGGAGGACCCCCAAAACATGAAGACACAAGGTGGAGAGGAGAAGGTCTAGAAAGAGACAAACCCCCTGGCCCTCCTCATCGCCTGTGGGACCCTGTGGAGCCGAGCCAGACTTTGGGCTGGGTTTGGGGTGGGAGGGGGTGCTTGTGAAGTACTGTATTGAAATACACTACTGCGTCGCCATAGTAGGATGATTAGCATCTAAACAACTGATCTGTGATGGTCTTTACTGAGAGGTCTCTACTGGTTTGCAGTACTTAGCAAGATGGATAGAAAGAGAGAGAACATGCTCAGTGACAGGAGGGAAAGGAGGACATACAGTGATGGGTGTGTTCCAGTGCAGTGGTGTGGATGAGTGCTTCCACGGGGGCCGAAGGAAAAGCAGAGGACGGTGGAAGAGGAAAGCCCCAACGCCTCTCCACGCTCGCTTCAGCTCTCCTGTCAACTCGCCACACTATCTGAAATAGGAAAGAAAGAAGACAGAGAAACAGCCAATGAGGTTCGAGTTAGACTGTCACATCATGCACCTAGCAACAATAGCAGGAATAGCTAGGACACACACACACACACACACACACACACACACACACACACACACACATTCCAAGGTACCACTGTGTAAAGAAAGCTGTCTGTGTAAAGGATGACATAAACATAAGGGTCAAACTCCAGAGAGAGCCCACTGGGGCCGCCCACTCAATCCCGTCATGGTCACTTTAGTGCTTTGCTCAAGGGCACCTTAGTGGTGCTATTCGTTGAGAGAGGACACCAGGCTGGACACAAGCCTACTACCGTCTGGTCAAAACTCTGTTTTCTTTTTCTGAAGACATGTAGTGCTGGTGCCATTATTCTCCGCTGTGCATTACATGTGGTGCTAATTAGCAAATGTTAGCTAACGTTAGCTCATAGTTTAAAGCACACTGGTGTTAAAATGCACCCTCTCACATGTCCGTAGACTAAAGAGGCATTCAGACCAAAAACAACCCTGTGTCATAAAAACCCCAGCACATTACAAAAGTTTCCATCCAAATTCATCAGAAATTTAAAGAGAATTTCGAGAAAATTGATGGAAGAAGATGCGAATGAATGGTTGTTACCATCTTTATGTGATTATTAAGAAGTGCCAATTGTCCAGTCAGAAAACCATTTTACCAATGCAGAAGAAGAAGTATTTAAAGGAGCGCCAGTCAGACCTCAAACGATGAAGAACGATGTAGAAAACTGGATGGAAAAATTACATTTATTTTTGTTGATGAACAATGCTAAATATCCATTTCCAACTTTTCCACCTTCAAATAATCCCCCCCAAAACTTTTATTTTTCTGTGCGATATTTCAATATTGTGAACATTTACACAAAACATGCCAAAAATGCATTGATACATTTGCATTGTCACTATTGTGACCGATGGGATTGATCATAGATCACATTATTCAGCGTTATGATTGTCTCTGTTGTTTTACATTGCAGTATACATCACTGACACTGACATACTTTCCCATATTTCTTGTTATATATTCCTAGTTTCTACCTTTAGAGAGGGAACTTTGTCTTGAAGCTTTCTGCTGTACTTATAAGTAACCATTCAAGAAGGGTGCTGCATTCTGCCGTGAGTGTGACCACAAACGGAGTGTGAGGTGAGGAGGCGGATTGGAACTGGGCCATAACAGACCATGGCTGATGAGTGTCACTAGTGTGAAGCCTTTGCTGTCTTCTCTGCTCACTTTCAAGCCCCTTACACATGAAATGGAAGAGCTTAATGAACAGTATCAATAATTACAGTAGTTTCCCTTTGTATAACAGCCTCCTATAATCTGATGGAACACACAGCGTGGATTATGTCTTGTTTAATCTGGGGTGATGAAGCCGCTCATATTGGATTGAAAAATCTGTATGGAATATTAATTATGAATATGAAAGCAACTGCCTGTGTGTATTATCTATTTTCTTCGTGTGTCGGACTGACTAAAATCCTCTAATCTGCCAGCCGAATCTGTACCCTGTAGAGATGGTTTACACGCACGCACACACACACACACACACACAGCTGTGCCTCTTTTCTCTTTTGGAATATAATTCCAGCTCAGAAGCAAACTGGGGAGCATTTGCATTATTTGCTCAAACACAGCAAGAACCCAGCAGAACAGCAAGGTTCTGTTTAGGTAGCTTTATGTGAGCTGGATGAACCTTCCTATGATGGTCAGTAGCTATTCATCTCTGATTGTTTGCTGATGTGGTGCTTACATGTGCAAACTAGGGATGTTAATAATTATACGTTTAACCGTTTACCATCTTTAAGAAATTTGAACGATTAATGCTATCTGTTGAACAGTTAAAAGAAATATTAAAAATCTAGTGCGTCACGCTTAAACTGTGGCAACGTGAGCCGCAGAGTGTAAAACCCTGGTACCGACAGCCGCTGTCTGACTTCTGTTGCTCCTATAGTACAGTTATTATGGTAAGGATGATCTGTAAGTAACGGGAACGGTGTTACTGCTGTTTTGCACTCGGCAACTCCCGTTACTGCAGTCTTGAAAAGGGAGGAGTGAGCTGAGGGGTATTCAGTATGTTGCAATCTACAATCTCACCATTCACCAAATCCTACAAACGGTCCTTTTTTTAAAGTTATTAAATCCAAAGTGTGCCTAAACATTTATAGAAAAAGATGACCTACAAGATAACTCTTATTTGTTGTAAAAATAATATACATATACTGCAGGTAAGAGAGCGTCCGGTTTGTGGACCTCAGGTTAGCATCCCACCTCTTTGCAGATGATGTGGTTCTGTTGGCTCCTTCAGAACGCGACCTTCAGGGGGTTTGCAGCCAAGTGTGAAGCGGTCGTGATGAGAGTCAATACCTCCAAGGCTGAGGTCACGTTCTCTGCCGGAAAACGCTGGATTGCCCCCTCTGGGTTTGGAGTGAGTCGCTGCCCCAAGCGAGCAAGTATCCCGGGGTCTTGTTCACGGGTGAGGGTAAAAATGGAGCGTGAGATGGACAGGCGGTTCGGTGCTGTGAGGGGTAGACCCAGAACATGCTGGAGAGATTATAGATCTTGTCTGACCTGGGAACGTCTCGGGGTTTCCAGGTGCACCAGCGACCCGGCCCCGGATAATAGGAAGATGATGGATGGTTAGATTTGCGAATTGTGGAAGAAGAATTTTTGTATGTATGGAAAAGTTAACTTTCTACAGTTTGAGGATTGTAAATGTAGACATTTTAAGGATCTGTGAATGCAATGTATCATGTGATTACTCTGTGATTCATGTAGTGAACAAGGCCATATGTTTCTAGTTTACCACAAACACACAACACAGATAAACACACACACACACACACACACATTGAAGGACTGATTTCATTTGGATTAGGAACATGTGTCTTGCTCATTTCTTGCACAACTCACTATCAGACAGAGGAAGGAGAGAAAAGGTGGACAAACATTAAATCTCTTCTACTTGCAATATCCTACAGGCATTTTCTCTCTTCTTTTACACCTGTAACCCAGACTGACTTCAACTCTTATCATGCTCTAGCAGACTGGCGTGTCTACGTTTCGCCTGCTTTCAAAAATCAAAGCGAAAAATCAGCCCGCGCACACACACACACACACACACACACACGCCCTCTCTCTCTCTCTGTAAACACATGACAGTCATGAGAGAGAGAGTAGGTTCCTGCCCTAAATGCCTGCAGGACTATTCTTTCCCTGAGAACAGTTGGCTGTTCATTTAGAGGTGCAACGGATCACAACACTTACGGTTCTGATCGGATCACGGATCAGAGTCACTGATCGGATCACAGATCGGATCAGGACAAAAGGAAAAAATAGAGCAAATATAACTTCTAGAGATCCCTGATCATGTTTCTTTTTGCCGTCAATACTAATTGCCAATCATTGATGTTGGATTATAGCAGCTGGTCTACAAGGCTCCAGACTACATTTTTGGCCACCGTCTCAAAAATCATTTCAACCACTCTTAAGTCTTTAAACCATAACATGTTATAAATATTGTCCTTTTACTTTACTTATAGTGTTTTTTTCTTCATAAAAACACACAATTCAAATATAAATTAATACAATATTGTATATTTATGGACAAAAACAAATCTTGTCATTAGTTGTTTTAATTATTGCGCTTAGAGCTCGTGTTACAGATCGTAATTCCACTGGCTCCCTGTAGCATTTAGGATACACTTCAAAACTCTCACCATCACTTACAGAGCACTTCACGGTCAGGCTCCTACTTATGCAGCTGATCTACTTCACCCATATTCACCCGCCCGCACTCTCAGGTCAAACGCTCTAGGTCTTCTGTCAGTTCCACGCACACGATTTAAGACCCGTGGTGACCGAGCCTTTGAGGCAGTGGCGCCGAGGCTATGGAATGCTCTGCCTGCAACTCTACGCCTCGCAGATTCTGTGAATACTTTCAAAAAACAGCTCAAAACCCACCTTTTTAGGCTGGCGTTTGAGTAAAAACCCATGTCCTAGACCTACTCTTAAAATATGTTTTAATTTAAATTTTTTATTTTTATTTTCTCTGTGTATGTAATTTATTGACCCTAGGGTCACATTGTGTTTTTTATGCTTTCAAATTTCTGCTCTGTTAAGCACTTTGTGATTTTCTGTCTGTGAAAATTATTATTATTATCATTATTATAATTCATCTCTAATATCTATTTTATATTCATGTGAAAACATCTCCTTCATACTACTGGATTTATTCAAGGTAATCACCAAAACTACATTTTATAGATTACATGTGACCACATCATGATAACATTATAATTTACCTTCGCCCAATACTCGTTTTCACTGAGCAGAGCCTGAACGCATCATAATGTAAGCGAATGGAACCTTTGTTCCCCTCCTGTCAATTGAAACATGGATTGGTTGTTTAAATGTAACATAATCAGAGATCAGCGACTAGAAAAGCATAAATGATGTCCTGATCTCACATTTTATTGAATATTAGTGGATAACGATCATCAGTAGTTCATTTCAGACTGTTGGTTAACGTTAAACTGTGTAATTAATCTGTGAGAGGGATCCGTACGGTTCAACAGTGGTCCGTTTATGAACTGTAACGTCTTATTGTTGTGTTTACCAGGATAGCTGGTACTCACATTGGCTGCTGAAAAATGATGCAGTAGGTGGGGTTAAGATTGCATGGTTTCATCCTTCAAACCTCTGTGACCCCCTTCTCAACTAGCATTAAAATGTGTCTTGGGCGATTGGATCACAGGTGGACAGCGACCACCACAACGCACTTGCAGAGGTGGTCTGGGACACATTTGACCACATAAGTTTTGTAGTGTAAACGTTGCCGACAAGCACATGAAAGGAATACCGCGACTTTCCTCCCTTCTCTCCAGCTGGTTCTGAAATCGCTAAGCTGTTGTAGCTGAGGGTTGTAAGTTCTGAACCGAGACAGCATTTTTATTACTCTCACATTGTCAACGGCAGCACATTGAAACTTCACTCTTTCCCTTCCTACCTTTCACAATAAAAGCCCTAGACAAACACTCTGCATCATTGCTTGCAGAAGGAACTTAAATTAATTCTAAGAATTTAGCTAAGAGCAACATCTGAACATTTTGAGAATTCCACAGAGATATAGTAGAAATCGGATCAATTGAGACCCGTTCTAATACCAGGTGTGAACAGGGCCTATGTGTCCTCTATGTGTTTCTGTTAGCATGTAGCATTTTCTATCGATAGAAAGAGAAAATATGGGACAATCCAGGTGAAAACTAACACAGTGCTGATACACTGTGATAAAGGCTTTTGGTGCCTTTATCACAGTGTTCCATGTCCAGTGGCAGCCTTCATTCTGCTTCGCTGAAACAGACCGCATCGTGTAGCTTAGTGTCGTTTACACGCACATTTGGACATCACTTGGTTTATTTAAGAGTTAGCATCTACAACTGTGCACGATGTCATGTTAGTGTCTCACTCCTCCACTCTCCACCTCCTCTCTTTCCTCTTGTTTTAGGTCTCTCTCCCATGTATCAACCCTGGGCATACAGCCAGGAATCAATAGCAAACACACACACACACAGACCCTCTAGCTCTTTCAATTTCCTGTGTAAGCAGCATGTTGAGCAGATGCTGCAGAGTACTGCTCGGAAACCAACCACGCTCTCGGCAGCAGGAGGCAGTTCACTTCACGTCCCACCAGTATTCATCATAGTTCAGTGTTCCCCTTCAAAGGTCGAGCTTTCCATTTATAATCACCTGGTTTGGCACAAACACTGTTGTACTATCACAAAGAGACAGGTACTGACAATTAAAGTACCCATCAACTATCTGATGTACTTCATTCAGCTGAGTGATGTGGTTTCTTTACGATGAATATTTACAGTATTTTGCTTGTAGAGCTACAGCTCAAGTGTTACTAGTAATATTAATGAAGCTCCGTCACATGACAGTGTACTAGTGAGTCCAATGAGTTAGCTTACACAACACCAGGACCCTGCAACTGACTCACTCCAATGGAATGCAGCCATTATTGATGTTTTTAGTTTCATCTGTTGTTTTTATGCTTTGACAAGTTCAAATGTCCAAAAGGTCAAAACATAAGACACCACGGCTCATTCTTATGTTGACCTTAATAATTATTAATACCACCAAATAATACACTGAAGTGTATTATTCAAGTTGGAAACCCATGGTTTTATTAATTTTTCTCCTTGTTGCATTTAGTGTTGCTCGAAATATGACCAATGCGTTTTGACTGTAGCTGAAGTACTTTTATAAACAACTCATTTCCAAGGATTCCAGGAATAATGTTTCTCTGCTCCAGGGACAGAACATGTCTAATGTTATGGAAAAATATGAATACCTAGCCCATACCAAATCGCTATTTTCCAAGCTATTGTATCTGTCATTTTTGATAACGCTGTGTCGAGGCTTCCATCATACGGAAGTGGGCGTGGTTTCATCTCGCAGCCATGTTTCAAAATGATGCAGTAGGTAGGGTTAGGCTAAGACCTGGGGGTGAAGTTACACCGACAGCTTCAAAGCACAGTAACCCTGAAGGCCTGGTTGCTATTACTGGTTGATGCAAACTGCATGCTGGGCATACTTGGCAACCCTGAAGTCCAGACACCACGTGGTGACAGGAGCTGAGATTGGTTTTCTTGGGCTGCTCGCTTTTTTAAAAATGTCCAATGAGGGTGAAGCTTGTTGAGGCTTAGTCTAGCTTACACACATCTGGCAAACACATCTCTACTGCCCCCATCACGGCTCTCTACCCCAGTGAACTGAACATTAACACAGCGACTGCACAGCAAATATTCAGTAATGAAACACTTGTTTCAAGCAGGCTTCCAAACTAATGTGAAAATGATTCTATTGCAACACAACAAGATACACTCATTCAAACTTCAGTCACTATGAAAAACTACCCGATGACTCTGTATTGTCTGATGCAATAAAACATTTCTTTTAAATGAATTATCTATCTAATTCGCTCCACCAAGGACGTTATGCTTTCAGCTCAGTTTGTCTGTTTGTCAGCAGTATTACGTAAAAACTAGTCCCAATTTTCACAAAACTTAGTGGAAGGAAGTAGCATGGGCCAAGGAAGAACCAATAGAAATTAGGAGAGGATCCAAAAAACGGGGCGGATACACACATCATAGTTAACCTCGTTAAATGTTCAATATAGAACATGCAGATTCTGGGCCGGGATGCCTCCCCACAGCTCTCACCTCCGACGTCACAAGCGAACATGGAGGTTGAGCTGAAATGGCGTTCTCTGCTCAGGACACCAATATTAGTCTATATCTTTTATATAGCAAATAGTTGTTCGTTGCTATATTCAGAGGTGGGTAGAACAGCCAAAAACTGTACCCCACTAAAAGTACTGTTTGCAAACACAGTACTCAGTAGAAGTAAAAGTAGTCATCGAAATTAGGCCTGCAACGATCAAACGATTAGTTGTTAACTATGAAGTTGATTGGCAACTTTTTTGATAATTGATTAATCGGTTTGAGTCATTCACGAAAAAAAGTCAAAATTTTCTGATTCCAGCTTCTTAAATATGAATATCTTGTGGTTTATCTGTGACATTGAACAGAACATCTTTGAGTTGTGGACAAAACAAGACATTTGAAGACGTCGTCTTGGGCTTTGGGAAACAGTGGCCGACTTCTTTCACCCTTTTCTGACATTTTATAGGCCAAATGATTAATGGATCGATCGAGGAACTAATCAACAGATTAATCAACAATGAAACCGGCACACTACTGTCTTTGTTTACTGTCTGAGTTTAAGAAGTGAACATACACTTAGTGATGAAATGACAAGTCTTCATCTCCTGATTAGATAACCTGCCCCATATACCCCAGACATTATTCTGTAACTCTCAAGTGTGATCGTTAAATATTACTTTTATATTATACAAAATCATTTTCTTAATTTATATTCTTTGCTTGTTGTCTCCTATATTATATTATTATTTAGCAAATAATTAGTTAATTGTGTGCATTATAGACCGTGTCTGTTATGTCCAAAAGTAAATCACAAACTCCTGCTGTTGATCCAGCTGTGATGCTGTGAACAGAGAGGCATGTGGAGGTGTGTGCCTCTTAATGGATCATGAATGCATAAAATAAAAATAACAAAATAAAGTAGCCGGACATATACATCCAATAGTAACGGAGTAAACGTAATAATTATTTTCAAATTAATAATTAATGCAAAATTCTCCTAAAAGTTACTTGAGTACATGTAAAATGAGTAAATGTAAAATGAGTACATGTAAAATGAGT